CTTCCTAACTGTCTAGAAGCAGCGCCACCTACTGTCCATATAAATTTTGCCTCTGATATGCAAACGTCAACTTCAATGTCAAGGAGAGTCATACATCAATCATTATTGACGGAAAGAATGGATGGGGAGAAGGGAAGCCGGTCCTCTCCCCTTATTTGTTTTTGCAAATTAAAAACAATAATAGAGAAAAAAGAAAATAATAATAATTGATGTCTGAGAGTTTTATTGTTTAATTGTGTTTATGATGTTATTACTTAATTGATAATTATTTAATATCAAAAGCGTGATCTAGAATTTATCTTTAGAATTCGAATATTTGCGCGTGTTCACACGCGCTTGATAATCTATGCGAATTACATAGAAATTGGAATGTTAAAGGTTCGTCTAGTCTATGACTGAAAAGACCAGCCTTTGTCAAAAACCTATAGTGTTTTGCTCTTTACTTTAGGCCTACACAATATAATTTTAGGGCCTATATATTGCGGCCAACTGACCTATACTATTTTAATATTTATAAATAATAATAATCAAAATAATAATATATGATTTGTGGGCTCGCTCATATTCATTTTTTAAAGAACAACAATAAGGATACACTATTTACGGATCATTAAAATCGGTAAAGCCAGTCAAGACTAAAAGTAGGCCTAATAATACTGGCTGATAATTATTGGACTGCCAGCACTGAACTTGCGTGGTAGGGGGCGAGTCTCCTTGGGCCCCTAAATTTGTCAAGAAATATGAAAAAAAATTGGAGAAAACGGAAAATGATATTCAAATTAGGCATGAGAGTGCCATTTCCGGCCATCTAGAGGTGGTCTAGTCTCTCCATCTGTGAAACTCACTCACCAGGCCCCTCTATTTCGAGTTTCTGGATCTGCCGCTGCTATGCGTTATACATGTGCCCAACCGTTGACCATATTGATGATTTAGCGTTATTAGCACTTCAATTATTATTAACGGAAAATTTGAATGAGAAGCAGAAAACTGCATCGCACACAGTGTGAATATGGTAACGAAGAATAGGTTCCCATGCTCCCTGAAAATGATCACAAAATGAGCCTATTCCCAATAGCAATTGAACAACTCTCATGTTCAGGAGGTACCCGGTTAATACTGAAACACTTTCTACATAATATCCATTGTGAGTTAAAATTAATAACACAGTACACTACTCCAATATAGCAATATTTAATTCATAAAACATTGTTCTATAAACCGTAATAGCTTAAAAAACCATAACCAAACTATCATAATTATTATAGGCCTTGTATAGTGAAGTTTCCTCACAAAATCATCAGCAAAGTGAAATGAATGGTATATAGGCCTATTCTTGGATATTTAATTAGCAGTGCCGGATCCAGGGGGAGGGGGGAAAAGGGGAAATTGTCCCCCCCCCCTAGAATTTCCTGCGCAAGCAAAATGTAAAAATCAGCCTTGTAGGCCAAGCTTATTTCCCTCTTCTTTCTAATAAAATTGACAGTTCAATGCGGCCTGTCCATTAATTAAATGGGGAAACATCTTTCATCCGTGTAACTATGTAAAATCACTGATGTTAACATGTAAATAAAGGCTCTAAAATTCTAGTTTATGTAGTAATTGTATGCTTAAATTTGGCATCTTTACAATGTCATTTTAAAAAATTTTCCACACCGTGAGAGGGGGAACACCCACTCCCACACCCTCCCCCCTCGGGCGCTGTGCGCCCTCGGGTTGCGAGCAAGCTCGCATGAGTTTCCCCCCTACCATTTGGTTCTGGATCCGGCACTGATTAGAATAGGAACTTGGTATACCCATACCGTACTCTGTATAATACCTCTTGACTGAAGCTACCTTTACATGCACAAAATACTTATTTTTGATTAGGCCTACTATTTCATACTGAACGAAATTAACATTTTCGTCAAGAAGTCAATCTATAAAAGCTCAAGTGATTTCACCGTTGATAAAATGTCATTAATATTTGTGGCTCTCAGTCCCACCGTGACCGAAACCTAAAAAAAGGGAAAAAACAATGATAATTAATTAAAGCTAATAAAATATAAAGTAACGTGTGTAACTTACTGATATAATACGGTATGTAATTTCCTACAGAATGCGATAAAAAAAATAGAATATTAAGCGCTGTACTTTTGTGGTCAAACAAACAAACATACCTCCTGGTCCAAACATTACTGCATAACATGGTTTGTTACAATACGGTGTTCCTTCGTGCTGTAAGAAGGAACGAACATTATTGTGTATAAGAGACAGCCTATAGTGTTATGCTCTTTACTTTAGGCCT